CCATGCTTTGATATATTTTAAAATACGGCGCGCTTAAAAATATATTTAAATAAAATACATTTATATAAAATACATTATAATAACTATACAGTTGGAATATACTATACTATGTACAAAATCTGTAAAACATGATTTAGGAGACAGTTCTAAAATTATATGTAAACTTCATTAGTTTACTCCAACTCTTTGAAATTCAGAATTGAGATATTGCCGTGTATCTCTAAAACATGTTAACTAAACAAGTTACACAGCAAGTTAAACAAAATCAAAGTCAAAGCCAGTCGTGTTGCGTTCGTTTGCATCGAATCTTTCTCGAAAGCGATGCACTTGGATGGAAATTGCTTGTATTTTTAACGGTGACACCCAACCTTGACCTTCTTCCATTCAAAGGGCCTTGAAAAACGAAATCCGAGGTGAGATTCATAACGGTGTTTGACCCACTTTGTTTCACATAAATCGGTACTATTCTTCTTGCTTCTTCAAAATATGCTTGAGTATCATTGTTGTTGCGGCTCAACTTTCAAGGCAACTCAATCGTTGTGCCACACGAGTCGTTAAGTTTCCAAAATCGCAGACGTTTTTCCGTGAGATAATATATGGAAGGAAATGGAAGCGAGAGAATAGCTATAACTAACAGTTTTTTACAATAAAAATTTATTTCTAAGCAAAAAAAGTTAATACCATTTTTTTTCTTATTTGTATTCCACTTTGTACAAGCAATTGAACTTAATATTTGGCTTTAAAACCTATTGGATGTAGTAGAGACGTTGGCAAGTAACTCGGAATTTTTTTGGACTTTTTGAAAGCCTAGAACATAAAAAATAACATAGGATGGACTAAAAGCCCACTCAGTGTTTGCTGACGGTGTTAGTAAAAAAAATGATTGCTGACGGAGAGTTAAATGTTCACTGAGAAAAAATCCAGGTTTAAATGATTGGACAATCGTTCGAAAATTAACAAACGGGTAGTCCGATAACTTTCAATCGAAATTATAAAAAGCCGATCAGGGCCAAAATAATGTCCGATTAATGATATCTAATTAATATCAATGATATCTGGATATCATTGACCGGACATTTATTTTGGCCTTGATCGGCTTTTTAAAATTCCGATTGAAAGTTATCGAATTACTCGTTTGTTAATTTTCGAACGATTGCCCGATTACTTATTTTTCTCAATGTTCCAATTTTTCTCTCGTCCACTTTGAAAAATCCGTTATTTCCGTTATTTCTCGTTTGATATCCACGCGACATCCGAGCGAAGTTAACATTTTTATGCCTGAACACAATCATGCAACCCCGTCCAATTTTCAAAAGTTACAGGGAAAAATTTCAAGTTCTGCGAGAGTTCAATATTTTCACTGCGCGGAGCAATTCGCAGATTCGCAGAGTTTCGAGATATTCGATAACTCGTGCGCGCGCGAACGCGCGACCGTAAATAAGAAAGCTTGCGCCCATTCGGAATAAGTCCTGTGTGTGTCGACACTTCGTTTCCGGGCGGTAACAGCGCCCGACGGGAATCTGAAAAGTGACGGGAAATATTTCGACGATCTTTTATATTCCCCCGCGCTGACGTAAAAGCGCCGCCGCCACTCGGACTGGCTTTTTGGGTCGATGAGAAAATTCCATAAGGCCCGCGTGAAGTTGCGCGTGCAATCTCCCGGGAGATATGCGGCTGCGGCGAGAGAGCGCGAAGCCTCGCGGGTTTGAATCGCGATCCGGAAGCCAATTTGCGAAATGAGAAAAGGCGCCGCGCGCCGCGGAAACATTACCTTTGTGAGGATACCACGCGCCGGTTTCATTGGCATCTCGCCAACGGCTGCGCTCTGTGTGTGTTACGTCGAATTTATTGGTTCTCGATTGGCTGTGTGATGGCCACGTTAACATCGCTTATTGAAGCCGCGCTATTGACTTACCAATAACGAAACCGCTGCCGCTTCAAAAATTCGGTCACGATGACTACGCGACTTTCACTCTAACATATAGCTCCGTTGAGAGCAACTGCTCCCATTTTAATCAATAATACTTCGCTCGAAATTGAAAGTACCTATAAAATATAATTCCAATTGACAATACTAGATATTACTGTCTACCAAAATATGTCATGTCAATGATTTCCTCGTATGTATTTCATAATTTATTTTATATATACATTTGTTAACATTATTATTTTTACGGTCGTGTATGGATGAGCGAATGTAAAATTTGAAATATTACAAACACGAATTAAACGCGCGAGAAAAAGGTTCTAGTTCTCTCTCGTCGCAAACACAGATTCGTTCGACCTCAACCGTTATTCAACAATCGCGAAATGCGGTTTCGTTGATTTTTTTTCATAATTCACCGACGCGATCATTTTCACACGGCGCGTGGTAACTGACGTTTTAATTAAACTTGCGGAAACGTCATTTTTTGATGGAAATTTAGCGTTAATAAAATTTCGCGTGCGTTTGCAGTTGTAATATTTATAGCTAGTAATATTCAATTTGCCTAAATTGATCATCTAAAATTATTTGAATTAAAACAGAAGAATTTTCGAACAAAAAACTTCTCGGATGTCGCTTTATTAAGCGAACCGGATCCCTGAAAGATGCAAGTCATTATCTGTCACAGGAGTCTATCCGTAGGAATCTTCCCGAGCCATATTGGAATTGATATTGTGTTATCGACGTGCATTTCCCCGACTACTCAGATTTGCTTCATTTGCCGTTAAATTCTCGGAGGAGAACAACCGATCGGGGAAAGTAAAGAGCGCGGAATCGTTATTGTATAAACGAGAGACAATGGATTAAGATAATACCGTCATCGCTATAATATCTCGGCGTCACGTATAAGTTAGATAACACTCTTCGTATTCAGGCCGTAAGTTCACACAGGATCACGTAAAGAAGTTCCGCTTCTTATGTCGTCACAATAAGGACAATAAGCGTCATAATAGGATGGCGCAGGAAACAAGAAAAGTTTCATAGAGCTGTAGAACGCTCTACGTGTGTAAGCTCCAAGTGTGCAAGCTCTAAGCTCTTTAAGGTCATGTGTCTAAAAAAAACAATCAATATATAAGCAAATATAATTATATATACGTAAGTAAAATGTGACGATATCCCCGATTTAATATTGAAATATAATTTCTCATGGAATATTTAAAATAATTATTTCTACAATAAATTATTCTGTGCGCGTTTTCGAAATATACGACGAGAACCGTGATAAAATAAACTTTCTTTACATTCGACGATATAACAAATTGTAATTAAGTACGCATATTTAAGCGATAAAACGTGTATTTGTTATATTAATACAAAATGTATGCGATATTTAACACGTTGTTTAATGCAAAACTACCTGCAAATCCTTTCGAACGGCGTTAACCCTCGTGTCCGCGCTAATTGCACAAACCGCCGCGCGGTTCATGCAATTATAATCACGAAGCGTCGCAACTACTGTCTTAATAGACCTAACGTTATAGTCGCAACTACTGTCTTGTTAGACCTAACGTCGGATTTGAGTGCGCCAACCTGTTACTCAAATGCGCTTAAAGACTCCCAATTTACGGGAAGATTAACGGTTTGGATCGAGCGAACTCGATCGCACGTCGTTAAGAAAGACATAAAATACGCAGCGCGACGCAGATGGAGCGGCGTGATCCCGGCTGCGAGAAGGACGACTATAGGAGTAGCTCAGGGCTCTCCGAGCTCGACCCTGCCCTCGCCTGTTACGCGTGTAACTTAATTACGTATCGTATATACTCGCGCTCAACGGAGACTGACACGAAACAAATCTCCGCTCTAATCTGCGACCGAGGCAACCTGTTACTTAGGCACGGAAACTCGCCAACTTATAACAAGTTGGCGCGGCCCCGAGACCGACCGCGGAAACCGCCAAGCGTCATCCGTCGCTTGTCATCGATCACCTAATTAACCGTCCCGGAAAGTAAACGGCTGCATTTCGCAGCAAATCGATCGTTATCGGATATTGACGTCTACGAGGCGCAAAATTGCGATTTACTGCCGTCAACCTGTTACTTAGTCACGGTTAATAATTAGAATAATTAGAATAACATTTGAAATTTGATTGAAAAAGCACATTTATGATCGCAGAATTTATCCTTTTTAATTTTATCCATCTTAAATTCTGTATTTTGCAAAATGAAAATTACAAAACTACGGAAAGTTATTTAAAGATCTACTTAAAGATCTATTGACTTCCTCGGTTCCTTGTTCTTTCATGACAAATAAATTTTATGCATAAGGATGAAAAAGAACGAGAATAAATTATGATAATATTATAGATAAAGTGATTTTTATATATTATAATGCGCTGCACGTAGGACTTAAATGCATTATTTTCTCATTTCGAAATATGTTATAAGCCGCATAAAATTTACAAAATGGCCGTCAGGGTTGAAAATATATTTTAGACAAGCAAAATGATCGGGCTTCTTGCTCGTAATTATTTTTTTTTTATGAGCGACCGAGCGTCATTATCGATGCTCTCGAACATATCTTCTGGTCTGATCCTACCTAAACCTGTACTACCTATATCGTCGCAGGTTATAACGAGTTCACACCTGAATATTGATCACCGAAACTACTACGTGCCTCGCCACCTTTACACAGATTATGCACTATCTCGCGCGACCGTCACTCTCAAATCCGGTACGCATTTGTCTCCAAGATGGTTTGTAATCTATTAGCGTACATAAAAAGTGACTGGCCAAAGCATGATTTAAGCGACAGCTTGGTATTTTAGATACTTAGATGCGTGCATACGTCACGTATACCTCTCTTAGGTATAAGTACTTCCGAACATCATCGTCACCAACTGTTACTTGCCTACGTTCTTGATTCCTAAACATTTTTAGTATGTTTATATCCGCAAATTGTTCGCAAATCATCGGAAACGGAGTGATAGTAGTTAAATCGCTCTTTGCCGCGTACACGAGCATCCCCGCACAGATCGATCGCGATCGCTCGCTTCTAAAGACGTTGCTATAACACCAACCTGTTACTTGTCCAGCGGCACGAGCTTCCAAGAGGGGATGCGTGTACGATCCCTCGAGCACGCTCTTCGGCTCCCTTTCGCACGGATGCACGTGCTCTCCGGTATTGTCTTGACACAGGTAGCGGCGCCCACTTTTCCCCTCCCGATAAGACACGGCCCGACTGATGCACGCCGGAAGCGCCCGAAAGAGAGAAGAGAAGAGAGAGAAAGAGAGAGGGAAAACCGACGTATCTCGTACGAGCGGGATACCAAGCTCAGCCTGCGCGTGCAGAGAGAAAAAAAAAGAGACAAATTACCGCGACACCCCCAACAGAGCGACCGTATCGTCGGGCAGGCAGCCCGGCTTGCACTGCCCGGGTCCACCGTTTCTCCCACCGGAGAACCGCCACCACTCTGTGCCTCACCTTTCCCCCTGCTTTCCTCTCCCACTTTTCCACCTTGCTGTCAGTGTGCCGCGACAACCCTCTGCACCAGCCACGTTCTACAGCGAACGAACGCGTCCTCCCCCGAAAAAGCTCACCTCTCAACCCCACCTGACGCCACTTCGTCCGCCCCTCCTCTTCGCGCCCCCCTCGTCCTGGAGCTCGTCCTCGACGAGCAGCTCAGGGCGCAAGCTCGCGCCCCTTTACTCTCTTCGAGGGTTAGGGGCAAGAAGCTTTTGCCTCCACGACCGATGCAGGACGAAGGACGAGACGAAGACGCCGCGTATACCAGGACGAGCGTGCGTCGTCGATGCGTACGTCGATCTCGACTACTGCGTAATCACCTTTCGCATCCGGTCTTGAGGGAGATCGTACATCACGTTGATCTGACTCGGGTGGTGAATGGATATGATGTTTGCTGTCGGCTCAATGGAAAGGACGCGGGAAGAGAAGTCGACACTTTGGCACAAGAGGGATGTGAGGGGGAAAAAAAGGCAATAAAAAGGCAAATCTCTTTATATATCTATCTTTAAAAAGAAATTGTCGTCGTGGAAATTTCTAATATTTCTTGCGCTCGGATTTTCTGCTGATTACACACAAATAATTGGTTGCGAAAAATTTGGATTTAGTAGCATACATTACATGCTGATATGTGATAGATATATGTCTTTCTTGAATAACAAATGTTTTTTCAACGTTTTGTCACACAGTTGTCAATTGTATTTCTAATTGATGTCTCTTATTAATATAGACTCTTATTAATATTTCACAATTAAAATTCGACTTATCTCAACGAATATGTTTCGCGTACTTGCGTATCGCGCGATTTCAAGCGATTAACCATACGCAGGTGCTCGCTGAGGGATGAGTGAGAAATAGGTGGAGGATATAAATCTGCGTTATCACTTAATCCGAGGATCGGGAATATTAAATGATATCGAGTTGCAGCAGAATACGTAAATAGATGCGACATGCATACGTAAAAGCGCTGAAACAAATCGACGTACGAAATCGTGCAATTTTGACAGCGTTGCTCGTCGGTGCGCTGCGCGCGCTGGAATCATACGCAATATTACTGCCGGGGCTGCATATACAAGTCGCGTACCTCTGAATAAACAACGTAGCTTCGTCGTCGATATGTTTAATCGGAAATGCTGGAAATTGAGTTGCATCGCTGAATCTTAACTTCGTTTCGCGATTAATTGCGACATGTCGTATATACGCATGTTATGTCATTCGAAACGGGAAAGCGTAATGCTCTTAAAGCATTACTCGTAAATATCTCTTCAAGACGTAATTCTATATCGAGATAAATCCGTTGCTTCGCAACGCGGTCGTACGAGGAAACTGCACACGCTGGAGAACAAAGATAAACGTATCGTCTAAGGAACCTCGTGTGTCAGACCGATTAGCCGATCGAGAGCAAGCGGCTTCGCCGCTGAAAAATCCAAGTTTGCGAAAACTGTGTGCAGTGAGGCTCTCCTCTGAGTATTTTTCACTGAAACGTCCTAATAACTTTAGTATACATAACAAGATACATAAAAAAATGCAATTCTTTAAAATTCTTTTGAGAATCAGAAACTTTGAACTACCGCTTTGATATTTTCGCAAGGGACAAATTCGACTCGAAATTGACTTTGAATATATCAAGGAATTCCGTCTCCGGGGGTGAAACCTAAGGTATTTCCCTATATATATATGCTTCACGACACCCTCATTAGCCACGTGAATACCGCAGGAGGAGAGCCTGCGGAGTGGATCCTGACAAGACGTCACACGAGCGTCACTATCTGATCGATTTCGTGCGCGCGGAGAGGAAGTTTCCTGTGGCTCAGGTCGGGCTCGTGCCTCCCTAGTGTTCCTGCCCTCCCTCCCCTTTCCGTTAACCTGCAGCCCCTTTCGTTCCTTCCTTCGTCGCGGACTGTCCGAAGGGGGTGCGACGTGGATATCTCGCGATGCGCAGGCGACGAACAGCGCGCGCGTTTCGGGACACTTCGGTTATTATACGTCGAGGGTGTCGGAATAGAGTACCGGCACAATCGAGGGCGCGAGGGAGGGTGGATGAAACAGGGAAGAAGGACGATGCTTCGGCGTGTCGAACAGCGCGGAAAGTTATGGAGATCCAGGTGAGGTTGGAAAAGCATCTCGCGATAAAACTAGATTTCTGACGACGACGCTTGTTACCTATTTGGAACGGAAGGGTGTGAGGGAGAGAGTGTACACCCTACTGCTCTTCGTACTGATACATAATGATATATTTTTATTCCCGGTTTTTTTCCCCGCATTTTTAGAGCGATTTCAAGCAGATTTATTTTATTTGATAAAGTGGAATTTTTAGTATGTTAAATTTTAACAAATTTACGACACGTGTGTCTATGAACATATTGTGAAAAACATTTAATACTGTATTCTTTGCGATATTAAGTATAAATTGTGTGTACAAGCAACTTTGCTTCTTCGAGTCTTTCAAAATATTAGATTAAAGTTCGAAACGTTGGAAGATAGAGAGTGTTAACGATCTTACTTTTGCCTCCATGAATCTTGTGAGAAGATGTTCCACTGAGTTTCTGGGTATCCGCCAACTTGGATATCTATATTTGTCCAGTAATTGGAGAGAAATTGTGTTTTTAACAATTTACATCGACAACAAAGGAATGCCACGCCGCGTTGAGGAATCCTCTTTCATCTTTCATCTTCGGTGCAATTCGCTTAAAAGAATTCGTGCACTGTGAGTCTTGATTGTTCTTTGAATTCTGGCACCATCGTTAAGTTCTTACGATACGAGAATATCTTTGAAGATTGCAAAGTACGCGCGGCATTGCGAAATATTATTCAAGCCGCAAAACTTTGTTGGTGAACTTAGGCCCGTATTTATAATCGCGTTTCCACCGAGAGACTCGTTAAAACCAGTTTTGAGAAGTAATACAGTTCAATAGAATCTTGAGAGTTAATTCGATATTTGTGACGTCAAACTTGAGATTACATATCTGTCTTATTCTATACATTTTTACTTCTTAATTGTACAGTTAAAAATACGAACCTTAAAGCAGAAAAGTAAACATGTAGATTCATTATGAAATATAATTTGCGCTTCTCGTTCACCTTATCGCCTTGTGCTAATCTCAAAGCATTGCAGTAATGAATCGTCCGGAAAGTTTGCTGTACGGAACGTTGGTAGAAATCTTCATATATGCTATCCAAATTAATTACAATTTAAATCAGCAGCTTGAAAGGATCGAAGCTGCGCAAGAAGTTCTTATTAAATCAAAAACTTTTGAAATAAATATATAAGAACCCTACGAAACAATAAATATGCGAAATATAGGTATATTTTAAGCATCAAAGAAATATACTTTTCATTCTCTTCACATTATTTCAACTTCGCGTACCGAGACATCATAGAGATCATACCGTTCACTTTACGGAGAACATTAAACATTGTTCCCGGTATAACGTATCGCATTTTCTAGCCCCGAGAATTACAAAGGGAACCCCTTCAAACAACGGTCGCGAATTAATCCCTTGTGCGCGGAAACTTGCGCGGACCATAGAGAACAGTTTCCTATTCGGGGGTGTGTATATGCTATATGCACGGTGTTTCGCGAGCTCGTGAGCCAAAAGCGCGGAAGCGCGCTCGATGCAGCGAGCGGATCTTATAGTTGCGTCCAACTATTCGTATTATACACGAGGCACTGAGACGATTAGTGATACTCGCCATGACAATGGAACATCCGGTATTCCGCCGATCCCACCCCTTATTTGAAGTAAATTCACAGACGAACGATATGCAAACCGCGAATCGATCGCGAATCATCTGCGCGATCGTCTGGATTAATTGGAAAAAGAAAAAGGTTCGGTGAATTCCGGTTTTCCATTTCTCGCTCGCCGACTTATGGCAACAATTTTCCCGGCGCGCGAAACTTTTTCCATTAATTCGATACCCAGCGACGGCAGCACACAACTTCATCGGTCAAGAACTAGCATCACGGTTTTATCCGTCGGATTAATAGAAACCTCGATTCCAAGTCGAACTTTCAGGGTCGTACATTATGGACGATAATCGAATTGAATTCTTTGAAATTTTTCTCTTTTAACAGGGATTATAGATATCGTGTGCATTACGCGCCTCTTTTCACAACGAAAACTGCAGTAAATCACACGGTCCTTGCTGGAAAAAGAATTTTATTCGACACGTTAATGTGGGTCTTTATTTTCATAAGGAGATTGTAATAAAACACTTTTTTTTATTAACACAGTATATACGTTATTATCTCGCGGCCGATAATAATCTATTCGAAAACCGTGCGAGATTCGTGCGAGAGTGGCTTTCGAAAATTTAGCCGGAAATTCGGTCCCGCTATAATCCTTAATTCGGGCATAAAACTTGTACGCGTTTCCGTACGTAACGCGATGAATTTTCAGAAACAATGCACCCGCCGCTAACCCAGAGAGGTATAATTATTCTACTTTATTACTACGTGAATTAATTACTCTTGATTTTACGCGAGCCCAACGTCGCCGTGCAACATTTATTTCGAGCGGATATGTGAGTTGAATTTTACAATCAAATATTATTCCAACTGTCTCCGCTCAACTATTTCACTTTCATGGTTTTTTAATTATATCAATTTGCGAATGTTATCTCGTAACATCACACAGCGTGCACGTTACATGTAATTTCCACAGCATATACTTTCGAAATGTTACGCACTGAAAAAAAACTTTGATTGAATTAATTAGGACGTCTGGTGGAAAATGAACAAAAGAGATTTTTCCAATTAATGGAACCAGAATTTCTATATTAATTCAACCAGATTCTGGTAGATTCAACCAGTGTTTTCTGGTGGAAAATGAACAAACCAGATTTTTTTACAGTGCGGTATAACTATTCGTTTCTCAATCCAATAGCACTACCAATTGTAATACATAAAATTTTGCTGCGCGCAAATATTTGTAAGTACAATATTTCGCTGTTTCGTGCAAT